TCAAAAAAAAAAAAAAAAAAATTCTGTAATTTGTTCCCCCCAAATCGACCCCCAGTTGGCTTTTCACTGTCTAAATAGTGCAAGTAGAACTTCGTTTTCTTGGTTTAAGCCAAATAGGCTTTAGTTCTCTACTTAAATCCACATCTCACCTCTGAAAAGGGTAAACTTTATCAGTCATTTACATTCTGGTATAAAATTATAAGAAATTTATTTGAGAGGATTTGAGAAAGCTTTAAAGAAATTAATAAAATGCTACTTTGTTTCTAAGTAATACTTACCTTTTCACTCATGGATTCTTCAAATTTATGGTTAAAGAGGCACTTATACACTCTGCCTTCACCAGCTTGTGTCTGTAAGATGCAACACACACATTATTATTATTATTATTTTGAGACAGAGCCTCAAGCTGTCACCCTGTGTAGAGTACTGTGATGTCATAGCTCACAGCAACCTCCAACTCGGGCTCAAGTGATCCTCTTGTCTCAGTTTTTCTATTTTTAGTAGAGACGGGGTCTCACTTTTGCTAATGCTGGTCTTGAACTTGTAAGCTCAAGCAATCCACCTGGCTTGGCCTCATAGGAGTGCTAGGGTTATAGGTGTGAGCCACCTTGCCTGGCCATGCTGTTATTATTAGCTAAGTCATTATGCAGCACATTACCCATAATCTCATACAGAACTATCAATGTCAGATTATAATAATGGTGAGCACTTCTGGAAAAAATGGCTCAGCCATTTGTAAAATTTAACAGTGACTACAATAAAGATGAAAATAATTGGGTGGTGCCCGTGGCTCAGTGAGTAGGGTGCCGGCCCCATATACCAATGGTGGTGGGTTTGAACCTGGCCGCCAAACTGCAACAAAAAAATAGCCAAGCGTTGTGGCAGTTGCCTGTAGTCCCAGCTACTTGGGAGGCTGAGGCAAGAGAATTGCCGAAGCCCAAGAAGCTGGAGGTTGCTATAAACTGTGACGCCACAGCACTTTACTGAGGGTGACAAAGTGAGACTCTTGTCTTAAAAAAAAAAAAAGAAAAAAAAAGATGAAAATAATTTTTACCATGATGTTTGGCAACTGTCATTTGTTCTCAGATATATTTTGTTAATTAGGGGACGAGAGAAACATTACCAGGAGTCTTCTTTCTTAAAACTTTATGCTAGAGTCTATAAAACCCGTACAGCTAGTGCCTCTCATGGTTGAAACTGCTAAGTCAAAACAGGAGGCAGAACGGAAGCACTATATACACAAGTTACTCTCAGTCCCTGTCTAACTCTATTTAAAGTGTCAGAAAGCTGTGCTGGCCAGGCATGGTGCCCAACACCTGTAATACCAGCATTCTGGGAGGCTGAGAGTACAAGAGAGAGAGGAAGACCCCCTCTCTACAAAATGTATGATAATTAGCTGGGTGTGGCATGATGGTACACGCCTATAGCCCCAGCTACTCGCAAGCTGAGGCAGGATGATCACTTGAGCCCAGGAGCTTGAGACTGCAGTGAACTATCATGATGCCATGGCATTCTAGCCTAAACAGTGTGAGATTCCCTGTCTCAAAAAAAAAAACCAAACAAACAAACAAACAGGATCAGCACCTATGGCTCAAGCAGCTAAGGTGCCAGCCACATACACCTGAGCTGGCGGGTTTGAATCCAGCCCAGGCCTGCAAAACAACAATGACGGCTGCAACCAAAAAATAGCCAGGCGTTGTGCCTGTAATGTCAGCAACTAGGGAGGCAGAGGCAGGAGAACTGCTTGGGCCCAGGGGTTGGAGGTTGCTGTGAACTGTGATGCCACAGCACTCTACCCATGGTGACAGCTTGAGACTCTGTCTCAAAAAATAAAAACATAAAGTGTGGAGATTGTTAGAAGCCTACTGTTAACTAGATGTTAAATCATCAAGGCTGTGCCTCCAATACCATTTCCTGTTATCCTGGGATCAATTCTATCTTTTACTTCAGTGACTTCTCTATATGTAAGGGTTTGTGATAGTTTTTTGTCTTAGAATATTTAAAATTATTTGAAAAGAAAAGGAATAAAAGAAGAATAGCTTCTGAAGAACTCACATTTTCACAAAAACGCTCCCGATCATCCCGGCATGCAAAATATAAATGCCGGTCTAAATGAAAGTCATCCGAGGATAGCTCAGCCACCCGAAGGATAGCTTTCTTGCAGAGATCAGAAACTTGAATCTTGGGTTCTTTTTCTTCTGCTTCCTTCACCAGGCCTTTTTCCAAGCATGATACCACCTCACCTTGTGAATGTGCATCCTAAAATAGCAAGGACATAAATGTTTTAAAGCACATGAATTTCAAATAAATATCACTTGGCTGAAAAAAAAAAAAAAAAAGTAATAAAAACCCCCTGACACAGGGGCGGTGCCTGTAGCTCAAGGAGTAGGGCGCAGGCCCCATGTGCCGAGGGTGGCAGGTTCAAACCCAGCCCTGGCCAAAAACTGCAAACAAAAACCTAATGCATATTTAGCTTATTAATGTTCTACTGAGAAATCAAGTGGGAACTAAATACATTGTGTTGGTTACAGAAAGGACTTCAATGATACTTGGTTAGAATACTGACCTATAAATGAGAAGAGATCCTTGAAATTTAAGTGCCATAGTTTAGTTAGAATGAGAAACAGGAATCTGGCAGGCCCAGGCTGGATTCAAACCCACGAGCTTTGGTGTACATGGCTAGCCCCCTAGCCACTGAGCTACAGATACCAGGCCCAGGAATCTTAATTTTTTTTTTTTTTTTTTGAGACGAAGCCTCAAGCTATCCCCCTGGGTAGAGTGCCATGGCATCACAGCTCACAGCAACCTCCAACTCCTGGGCTCAAGCGAGTCTCCTGCCTCTGCCTCCCAAGCAGCTGGGACCACAGGTGCCCACCACAACGCCCAGCTATTTTTTGGTTGCAGCCATGATTGTTGTTTGGCGGGCCCGGGCTGGGGATTCGAACCCGCCACCTTAGGTGTATGTGGCTGGCACCTTAGCTGCTTGAGCCACAGGCGCCGAGCCGGAATCTTAATTTTTAAAAGTTTAAAATATATCGACTTAGCACCTGTAGCTCAGAGGCTAGGGTGCCAGCCACATACACCAGAGCTGGCGGGTTCCAACACAGCCCTGGCCTGCAAAACAACAATGACAAAAAATAGCTGGGCTTTGTGGTGGGCACCTGTAGTCCCAGCTATTTGGGAGGCTGAGGCATAAGAATCATTTAAGCCTAAGAGTTTGAGGTTGCTGTGAGCTGTGACGACACAGCACTCTATTGAGGGCAACACAGTGAGACTGTGTCTCAAAAAACAAAAACAAAAACAAACAAAAAAAAAAAACGTTTAAAATGTCAGGGCCAGATGTGGTGATGTGGTAGTTCACCTGAGCTCAGGAATTGGAAACAAAAAAGAGAAAGACCTTGTCTCTTTAAAACAAAACAAAACAAAACAAAACAAAACAAAAAACAGGTATTGCAGCAGGCACCTGTATTACCAGCTACTTGGGAGGCTAAGGCAAGACAATTGCTTGAGACCAAGAGTTTGAGGTAGCTGTGAGCTGTGATGCCATGGCACTCTGTGGGGGAGCAAGAAAGTGAGACTATCTCAAAAAATATATACATAAAGTTTATAATGTCAAAATAGGCTGGGTGCCCATAGCACAGTGGTTATGGTGCCACATACACCAAGGCTGGTGGCTTCGAACCTGGACTGGATGAGCTGAAACACCAGTAACAAACTATAAAAAAAAAAGGCCTAGCATTGTGGTAGTCCCAGCTATTTGGAAGGCTGAGGAAAGAGAATTGCTTAAGCCTAAGAGCTGGAGGTTGCTGTGAGCTGTGATACCACAGCACTCTACCAAGAATGACACAGTGAGACTGTCTCAAAAATAAATAAATAAATAAAAATAAAAATAAATATGGTGGCGCCTGTGCTCAGTGGGTAGAGCACCAGGCCCATATACTGAGGGTGGTGGGTTCAAACCCGGTCCCAGTCAAACTGCAACAAAAAAACAGCTGGGTGTTGTGGTGGGTGCCTATAGTCCAAGCTACTTGGGAGGCTGGAGCAACAGAATCGCCGGGGCCCAGGAGTTGGGAGGTTGCTGTGAGCTGTGTGATACCAAGAGTGATAAAGTAAGACTCTGTCTCTACAAAATAAATAAATAAAATGTTAATATATTCTTAAGAAATGACATCAGCCTGATACTCTGATTATAGTTCATGTCAATACTGAAATAATACTGCAGAAATCTCTGCTCCTTTCTAATAGCCAGGTATTTTACAAATAATAGTGCTTTCAGTCAAGTTAGAAAACAAAAAACAAGCCATAAAACTCCATTGAGAAAAGAAGTTACAGAGGCTCTTTTTTTCCTTTCTCTATTCTACTGTTCTCTGATATGATACAATCTGTAGTGTAATACTTACTTTGATGTTTTGGGTTTATAAAATCTATAGTGTAATACTCACTTTGATGTTCTGGATTTATTTTAATGCAATTTAACAGGATTACCACCATTTACATAAACTGCTTTTGAGGGTTTTCCTTAAAACCATCCAATTATCTTTAATTGTACCTTGCATCATCCCCATAGCAACCACAAGCACACATGCATACATTCATCCAACACAGGGGAAATTTCCCCTGAATATTTTATTTTATTTTTTTTTGTAGCGACAGAGACTCACTTTATCGCCCTCGACAGAGTGCTATGGTATCACACAGCTCACAGCAACCTCCAACTCCTGGGTTTAGGAGATTCTCTGGCCTCAGCCTTCATAGTAGCTGGGACTACAGACACCCGTTCACAACGCCCGGCTATTTTTTTGCTGTAATTTGGCTGGAGCCAGGTTTGAACCCACCACCCTTGTTATATGGGGCCAGCGCCTTACTCACTGAGCCATAATATTATTTTATTTATTTATTTATTTATTTATTTTGCGACAGAGCCTCAAGCTGTCACCCTTGGTAGAGTGCTGTGGTATCACAGCTCACAGCAACCTCCAACTCCTGGGCTCAAGCAATTCCCCTGCCTCCCCCTCCCAAGTAGCTGGGATTACAGGCACCTGGCACAACGTCCAGCTATTTTTTGGTTGCAGCCATCATTGTTGTTTGGTGGGCCCGGGCTGGATTTGAACTCTCCAGCTCAGGTGTATGTGGCTGGTACCTTAGCTGCTTGAGCCACAGGCACTGAACCTGAATATTTTGTTTTTTAATTTTAAAATATTAAAGGGTAGAAATCTTTCTGTTACATAGATATACTGTATAATGCTGAAGTCAGAGCCTTCAGTGTACCCACTACTAGGACAGTGCTCACTGTACCTGACAGATCAAGTTTTTATCCCTCAGCCCCTCTGATCTCTTCCATCTTAGTTTCTGATGTCACTTTCATCTCTGTGCCTGTGTGTAACCATCATTTAGCTCCCACTTTCCCTAAATATTTCCTATTCAAGAGCTCTAATCTATACTCATTAAGACACACTTTTAACAATTTGAGGTATACCATTAATATAGCATACCAAAGCATCTGAAAATACAGTGTACCATAAATCCTGTTATAGTAAAATCTGTATTTAATAAAAGGATTCCTAAAATCAAGGAAGGAAACATCTACTTCAGGCAAAATTTCAATTCAACCAACTAACATATACATATAGAGAGTACCAATAAAACGTATACATGTTTTAAGAAAGAAAAAAACTGAATTAAAATTTAATACTCAATGTACACTGTAACGAAAGATGAATACAAGTCACCTTTGAGCATTTCTTATAATTGAAGAAGTCAAACATGTCTTGAGTATTACCACTTTAATAGTTTTTTTCTTGTTTAAAATGTATACATTTTTGGGCACCCTCTGTGTATTTTTTGTCTTTTTGAAATAGATTTTGTTCTATAGTATATTAACTTTGAAGTGTTTCTATGAAAATTCTCACATTCTCTCTTAACATACCTATGAAGCGGGAATGGAGCTGTGATATTTATTTATTGTGTGGATGAATGAACACGGGCTTAGGGAAGTTAAGCAAGTCATCCAAGTTACAGAACATAAGATGCCTAACTAACAGAACATTATTTATTTTTCGGGCCTGGGGTTAATTTCGGTGATTGAGTGAAGTCTGTGAAACTCCTATAATTTGCAAGTAGCATTTGCATATTTTTCTGAGGAGGGTTCATAGCTTTCACTAGGTTTTCAAAAGATCTGCTGACCCAAAACTGATAAGGAGGACATTATACCACCTCTTTCTCATGCCTTCTTACTCTTTATCTGTACCTTGACATTTTTTACTAGCTCTATGACTCTATCCAATGCTGAGAAGCCTGAGATGATTGAAAATAAAAAGCAATTCTGAACAGATAAAATTCTTGAGGGACTTGGCGCCTGTGGCTCAAGCAGCTAAGGCGCCAGCCACATACACCTGAGCTGGTGGGTTCGAATGCAGCCCGGGCCCGCCAAACAACAATGACGGCTGCAACCAAAAAATAGCTGGGCATTGTGGCGGGTGCCTATGGTCCCAGCTACTTGGGAGGCTGAGGCTGAGGCTGGAGACTTGCTTGAGCTCAGGAGTTGGAGATTGCTATGAGCTGTAATGCCACGGCACTCTACCCAGGATGACAGATCAAAAAAAAAAAAAAAAAAAAAAACCTCTGAGGGATGTGTGACAAGAAGGACAGAAAAAAAGTAGACACACACCCCAGAAGTCTAGAGCAAGGTTTATTTTTCTCAAATTTATGAATGACACTCAAGTTTTAATGACTTTGGCCCACTTAAGCAAGGACTACCAAATTGTATTTCCCAAAGGAGCAACTAATTCTATAATGATAAAGGTTTGGACAGAAACATATCAGTCACTTGTTATTTATAACATACAAGAGATTATTATAAACATTATGTTATGCTGTAAACAATGTCCTATCCCAAATTTGAATAACTTGTAATAACTTAGAGTACTTTGATTTAAAATGTGATGGTCAGAGTAGGTGTCATCAAGAGGTATTGTTTTGCCACAAACCTTAAGGAGGAAAACGAGTAAGCTACGAGGAGGATCTAAACAGTAAAACGCTAGCCTGGGCACTGTGGCGGGCACCTGTAGTCCCAGCTACTTAGGAGGCTGAGGCAAGAGAATCACTTAAGCCCAAGAGTTGGAGGTTGCTGTGAGTTGTGACACCATAGCACTCTACCAAGGGCAACATAGTGAGACTCTATCTCAAAAAGGAAAAAAAAAAAAGTGAAAGTAACAACCCCCACCCCTCTATATGATACAACCTGTTATGTATCATATAGAGTCTTGTTCCGAATAATGATAGTTTAGTCAACAACAGATCACATATATGATGGTGGTCCCAAAATATTATAATACTGTATTTTTACTGATCATTTTCTATGCTCAGATACACAAATACTACCATTGTGTTATAACTGCCTATAGTAGTAAGTATAGTAACATGCTGTACAGGTTTACAGCCTGGGAGCAATAGACTATACTGCATAATTTCATATAGCCTAGGTGCGTCACAGACTACAGTATCTCGGTTTGTTAAGTACACTTTATGATTGTTCACAAAATCGACCAACAACACATTTCTTAGAATATAAGCTCATTGTTAGGCAACACCTGACTACATAGCAATTTTAGCACCGTACATGGGTTTTAGGTCTCACTTCAGTTAGATGTTTTCATTCATTGTAACTTTCAGATAGATGATTTTTTCAAATAAAGGTATTTCAGCTCCTTAGAGTCCCTGAGCTCACTTGAGTTATATAACTGAAAAGTATTTGAATATTTGACAATGTAGACTGTATGGCTAATTACCAAATACATATGAATCAAAGCAAGTGAGGTGAACTATACACTTACACGTTCTTTATGAAAAGATAAAATCACTTCTGTAAATGGACTTAGAATAAACTGTCTGAAAACAATGCAGAAAGCTAGAGGGAAGCTAATCAGCTACTACCTTGGTTGTTAATAGGCAAGAACTACTACAAAGAGACAACTGTAATGGTCTACTTCACAATGTGCTCTGCGAATGACAAATGTGAAAATGTTGCTGATTCCCAAAAAGTATGCTTGAAAAACTATGTAGAGATTTTTAGAAGGACCGAGGCTTGTAATTAGATACCATTTCCAACATCCTGAATAAAGTCGGAGGAGCTTCCTGAATCATCAGCGTGGCTTAAGTGCTTTTCTACCACTTCTGCAGTCTTCTGGGAAGGAAAAAACTACCTTCTTTATTACCACTGACCTTTCTTTAGTTGCCTCGCTCACAGAGCTTTCAAGACCAACTCAGGCACACTATGATAAGAAACCGGGCCCTGTGCTGATATGAAGGAGAGGGCATTAGGGCTTTGGTGACAGCCAACACTACCCAGCAATAAACCCTTCATCTGAAACAGTGTGCTCAGTTCCGGGATCCTAACACTATGCCCCCTTGTCAATGATAGACACCTACAAACCATGAACTGGGCAGAGAGACAAATAGATTTTATTTTCCACCATAGTTCCTGAATAGCAGATTAAGGAGCAGCTGTAATTAATAGTCGCTATCAGATGACCTCTCCCACTGGCATCTGTCACTTGGCAAGAGTTTCTTTCATTTTTGCTGAGTAAACAGATTCAGAATAAACCTGGCCAAGCTTCACTGTTCAGCAGACTAATAAGCCAAAAAACATAAGATCAGCTATATCTGAGGAAAGTAGTTAAATAGTCCTTTTCTGCACTGTCTTTACTAAATATCAGTTCATCTATAAAATCACATTCATAGAGCAACCATTTTTCTGACAAGCTAGAAGTACTTCCACATATCTTAAAATTTTCTATTTTAAATATCTCATTTTATAGATGGGGACCAACCAGTGTGCTTACTAAGAAATTTTTTTTATGGTAACAGTAAGGTATATGGAGAGGAGTATTAGAGAACTTGGGTCATTCTTTTGCCAGAGGCCCATTATAGGTAATCAGCAACCGGTTTGATGTTGTGAAGATAGCGCGCCACCCCAAGCAGATATCAAGTCCTCTACTTCCCCATACAGCACTGAAACGTTTTGTTACAAACACATTCACAAGTCAACTGGTCTTAGCTCTGAGGGTCATCTAGGCAAGTTTCCTTAATTTCAACTTCAAGGTCATTCCGGCCCTAAATTTTTCCCATGCCAAATTTTAAAGGTCCCTTTCATGAGGTCAATGTAATATTAGATACCTTTTCTCCAAGCCGAATGCTGCCACATTTCAGAATGTTGATGTCATTTTTGCAGTCATCCATGAAGCCACAGATTAAACGGTAATCACTGAAAATGATAGCTGTCATCTTAGTAATGTATTGGTGACACTGATACTCAGTGATGTTGCCTCGGTGATCAACCAAGCAGGAAACCATGTAACCTTTTCCAACTGGTTCATCAGCACATTCTTTAATCTGTTCAAAAGAAAGTGGCTATTTTATACAAATATTCTAGGATTGTACCAAATAACCTTTATGAAAGAGAAAATATTTGATATTGTCCTTTAATTTCCCATCTATTTACTTGGGAGAAAAAAAGAAAGAAGTATACATAGAAATACATTTAAGGAAAATGTTTAGAAATAGTAATACATTCATTTTAGAGAAAAATAGTGTCATCCTACCTAAATTGTTATACCTTCTAGAAACTACCTGATAAAGTGTTTTGCAAGGAAAATATATACATATTCAAGTACTTAGAAAAAACTCACTTCTAGATAGAGTAAAAAGCTTTTAACATCTACAGCTTTAGTATGGTCCTACTGAGAAGCCCTTTCAACCATGTAAAGAATGCAGAGGTCTGTAGGAGAGGAATCTAGGGAGTATGTCTAGAAAACAGGTGTAGAAGTCAAGGCTAGCTGCATACCCCAGATCAGGTACAGAGCAAACTATTATTAGGTAAACACAATGACAAGGAGAGAGAAGAGGGAAGGCATACTATTACTTCTTGATGTGACAGTAGTATGTTTTGAATTAACTATAAATTTGAACATGTGCTGTAGAAATTAGTAGAACCCAAGCTCAACCACTGTGGTCTGGGAAAGAAATGTATAAAATGAAGTTCAACACAGTGTGGCAAGAAGTGCGGGAAAGGGAAGGCCACTGCAAACCTAGTCTGTGTGGTTCTGAAATAGGATCTAGTAGATCAAGCACAGAGTGATTCCAACGGTTAGTCTTCCTGCAAAGTACACTCCAAACCACAAAATGCTAATGAGGCTGAGCAAGGTGGCTCATGCCTATAATCCTGGTACATTGGAAAGCCAAGGTGAGAGGACTGCCTGAGGCCAAGAGTTCAAGACCAGTCTGAGCAACAAGGCCAGACCCTGTCTATACAAAAATTTGAAAAATTAGCCTGTCAAGATGGCATGCACCTATAGTCCCAGCTACTCATCTGTAAAATGAGAATCTAAATTGTCCAGGAAGTTTTCTCTCTCTTTATTTTTTTTTTTTAGAGTCAAGAGTCTCACTTTGTTACCCTCGGTAGAATGCTGTGGCATCATAGCTCACAGCAACCTCCAGCTCTTGGGCTTAGGCAAATCTCTTGCCTCAGCCTCCTGAGTAGCTGGGACCACAGGTGTCCGCCACAACACACAGCTTTTTTTTGTTGTTGCTGGGGCTGGGGCCAGGTTTGAACCTGCCACCCTTGGTATATGGGGCTGGCGCCCTACTCACTGAGCCACAGGCGCCACCCATCTCTCTGTATTTATTTATTTTCAACAAAACAGAGCTAAGTTTGAAAAGTAAAAGGAAGAATAGCTGTTCGGAAACGAAATGGCTGTTCGTTTTGAGGGCAGCGCCTATGGCTCAGTGGGTAGGGTGCTGGCCCATATCAAGGGTGGCAAGTTCGAACTCAACCCCGGCCAAACTGTAACAAAAAAATAGCCAGGTGTTGTGGTGGGCACCTGTAGCCCCAACTACTCGGGAGCCAGAGGCAAGACAATCACCTAAGCCCAGGAATTGGAGGTTGCTGTGAGCTGTGTGACGCCATGGCACTCTACCGAGGACGTTAAAATGAGACTCTGTCTCTAAAAAAAAAAAAAAGAAAAGGCCCGGCGCCTATAGCTCAACTGGCTAGGGCGCCAGCCACCTACACCTAAGGTGGCGGGTTCGAATCCCCAGCCTGGACCCGCTAAACAACAGTGATGGCTGCAACCAAAAAATAGCCGGACGTTGTGGCGGGCGCCTGTGGTCCCAGCTACTTGGGAGGCGGAGGCAGGAGACTCGCTTGAGCCCAGGAGTTGGAGGTTGCTGTGAGCTGTGATGCCACGGCACTCTACCCAGGGGAACAGCTTGAGGCTCTGTCTCAAAAAAAAAAAAAAAAAAAAAAAAAAGAAAAGAAAACCCCAGCTTTTGGAATTCAATCATAGAACTAGATAAAAATCAAGATAAGTGGCAGATGCATAGATTTTAAAACTTAATGAAGTACAGAAGCATTCTCATAGGCCCTAATATTGTAGAATCAACAGCTTAAAAATCTGAAGAGAAATCAAGAACACATTTTGAACAAAAAGCCACAATAAGAAACTAAATGTTGGCTAGGCGTGGTGGCTTGGGAGGTTCAGGCGGGGTGGACTGCTTGAGTTCAGGAGTTTGAGACTGAGCAAGAGCAAGACCCAGTCTCTAAAAATAGTGGGGCATTATGGCTGACGCCTGTAGTACCAGCTACTCAGGAGGCTGACATAAAAGAATTACTTGAGCCCAAGAGTTTGAGGTTGCTGTGAGCTATGACACCACAACACTCTACCAAGGGTGACAAAGTGAGACTGCCTCAAAAAACAAACAACAAGAAACTAAATGCTTATTTAGCTTTACTCACTTCACATTTTACTGAAACACAGAAACATAGCACCATTTGTATTTCAGTTTACTACCAATTATAAGAGCATGTAGTGTTTGAATGAAGTTTATGATCTTCTACCATTATGATGAGAAGCATTTTTTCCTTCTATCTTATTAAACAGCAAAAAACCAACATTAAGTTCTCAACATATTTCAAAACGGGAGTTAACTCTGAAGTGGTTAGGGAAGTTCATTATGTGCCATTGGAAAAATTCTATAGTCATTCTATTTTTTGACATAGACAGAGGAAAGTAGGCAGCATTTAGCTTAATCTCGGGAAGTAAAAAAGTTTGGTTTGCAGTTGCAGATATTCTTGAGGTGGTGTTTTTCTCCTTGGAAGTAGGATTCCAAAATTAAGAAAGTAGAAGGGAGTGCAGAATACAATGTTTTGCTGGTATTTAGTATTTATGTTTTGCCTGATATTTAATTTTCTCATAGTAAGAGAGAAGTGTCCTTGTTATTCAATCTTTTACAAAGCAAGAATACCCTAAGAGATCACAGGGTACCATTATTACAGACATGTTATAAGGAAGCCAGCTTAATATAAACAATGAAACTATTTTAGTGAATATACAGATATTCTGAACTGTATTTCCACAGGGCAGTCAAAGTGGTATGTACTTAATTGGTGGCACAAAAGAGGGCAAAACAAATACAAACACACACATACACATTTATATCTTCCAATGTGTCTTTAAAAAGAAAAACTACTTATAATTGAATAGTTCCATAATATAGTGGGAATATACAAACATTTAAAGTTCAAGCCTGGGAATCATTTCTTTGTTAGTATTTCGTTTTGTTATTAAGCAAATACCTTGCCTTTGATATTTTAAAGTTAGCGGTTTAGTCATATAGCCAGCTTAGGGAGTTGGAGATACAGAATATTAAAGCTGGGAGCATAATATCAATATTTCAAAGATATGCTATCTATTCTGAAGCTCCAAGGTAAATATGAAGGGTCACTGATTTAAAAGAATAAAATATATCTGATCCAGTATTAGAAGATTTAAGAAAACAGGTTCTATAAGATCTGATAATGACATAGGTGAGGAACACAGCTGAAGGCTTATGTGAGTGAAGCAGGGTCTTCCTTAAAGACCGTTGTAGAAAGTGGCCCTGATTTAAGTTATCAAAAGGGTCAGCTTGAGGACAGATTAATATGCTATAAGAACTGTGTTAACTTTGAGGTGGAAAAATAGCAACTATTTTCTTTTTATTTTTTGAGACAGAGTCCCACTAAGTCGCCCTGGATATAGTACTGTGACATCACAGCTCACAGCAACCCTAAACTCTTGGGCTCAGGAGATTCTTTCGCCTTAGCCTCCCAAGCAGCTGGGACTACAGGCACCCACCATGACGCCCAGCTATTTTTTGTTGCAGTTATCACTGTTGTTTAGCTGGTCCAGGCCGGTTTCCAACCCGCCAAACTCGGTGTATGTGGGTGATGCTGTAACCACTGTGCTATGGGCGCTGAGCCAAAATAGCAACTATTTTCTGTGTCACTGCCATACTTCAGTATGCAGAAACTCTGGCTTAATGGAGTTTGTATTACTGATTAAAATAAAAAGCACACCAAAAAAATCAAAAAGGAAACTTCAAGTATCATAATTTTTACTAATATTATTTGTTGTTTACACTGAATCAAGATAATTGAAAATTTTCCATTAGTATCTGTATGGTGCTATGGATTTTCATCAGTGCTTTTGTCTTTATGCTCAGTATCAATTTATAACAACACACACACTCATATCCTTAACTTTTTAAACACTAGCTCTTAATATTTGAAGTATATGCCTCTGTGGTTCAACTGATCCAAATGCATAGCTGAAACACGCAGGAATGCCTATAGGCCTCCTGTAACCATCCCGATGTGCTTCAGACAAAGCAGGTTGTGTAACTGTGCGAGCAGCAATGATAACCTCAGCAGTTTTACTCCCTCCTGCTTTGGGGACCAACACAACCTGATTCCAACTGTCTCAGTCAACAGTATCCTACTGTAAGTGTAGGCGGATGTTAACAAAAAGAATCTAATTACATCCCCCCTCTTCCTATCTTTCAACTGAGACACATGTAAATTCCAAGAAAAGTAATGTAACTGTCTCATTCCTCTCACAGTGACACAGTGATCTGGTCAATAGATGTGATTTCTTTTAAGTCATTAAACATCCACAAAATTCCTTCACAACTTACCTCTGTTATGGTAGATTTGCAAACCTCTCTGGCAACAGATTCAAATTTGGGATCTGTAGTTAGATTCAGCTTGTAATTCCACAACAACTAGATAAAAGATGTTAGGGGTGGGGAGAGACAAAGAAAAATCCTCCAGTTAGAATAGTAGCAAATTTATCAGTAAGTTACTTTAAATGACAACAACCAACTATATACAATCAGATAAAGTATATATACATATCAGACAACAAACAAAGATAAAATGCTATCATGTTCGTAGATAAAAGGGAAAATATGCAGATAAAAACACTATCATTCAGACATACTTTCTTTTTTACTAAAGGAGAAATTTTTTAAATTTACAAATTAAAAATCATTTAAAAATCAAGAAAAGGCTTGGTGCCTGTAGCTCAGTGGTTAAGGGTGCCAGCCACATACACTGGGGCTGGCGGGTTTGAACCTGGCCTGGGCCTGCTAAACAACGACAATTACAACAAAAAACCAGCTGGGTATTGTGGCCGGCACCTGTAGTCCCAGCTACTTGGGAGGCTGAGGCAAGAGAATCGCTTAAGGCCAAGAATTTAAGGTTGCTATGAGCTGTGACACCATAGCACTCTACCAAGGGCAACATAGTGGGACTCTGTCTCAAAAAAAAAAAAAAAAAAAAAAAAAAAAATCTTGAAAAAACTTAAAGCTCCACAAGGTTTTTGGAGTATATAAGTAGGTTATATAAGCCAATTTCTGATTAAGCCAAGAAGTCTAAGCAAGAAGCTAAGATTTGGTGAATTCAGTCTCAGATTTCACAATCAACTTATGAAGGAGAATGGCACAAGATCTAGTTTCCAGGCACATCTATCCTCATTCCTTTAAAACTCCTGACATACACCATACAGTCCACTCGATACAGCTTCTTTAACACACCTTAAACTAGAAAGTATCTAAACTCATTATTATTTATAGGTGAGGACTGAATATTACTTTAATTTTGCAGCTTCAGTTAAAAATTTTTAGTAAGTGATCTTAGTTTTGAAAAGCAGCAAAAATGATCCTTGTAACTGTTCAAATGGGGAAACAGCAGAGACTTTGGATGATATAGAATATGAAGAGATTTTGGGGGGTGAGTATACATTCCTTTCTCTCTGACTGCTATATTCTACTTAATAAGATGAAAAAATACGATCATTGATTCAATCAAACATCTGCTTAACACTTCTCATGTTGACCACAGAGTCCAATTTCAAGGACCTTTAAGATAGGCTACCGAAAGAAACAGAAGTCAGTGTTTACTGAGTCTGTACCATGTTCTGGACACTGTGTTAGGAATTAAGAGATAAATCACAGTGAGAAAGAAAGACTGTGTGACTAGTTACTGGCAGGGAGGGACACCAGACTGGGAGAACAGAGGGTTTGGTCAAGGAAAATTTACCAGAAAAAAACGAAAGGTTAGCAGCAAGATTAAAGGGGCAGGAAGAGCCAGGCGCAGAGGTTCAGGCCTATAATCCTAGCACTCGGAGAGGCTGAGGTGTGAGGATTCCTTGAAGTTCAGGAGTTTAAGATGAAACTGGGCTCGGCGCCTATAGCTCAACCGGCTAAGGCGCCAGCCACGTACACCTAAGTTGGTGGGTTCGAATCCCCAGCCCGGACCCGCCAAACAACAATGACGGCTGCAACCAAAAAATAGCCGGGCGTTGTGGCGGGCGCCTG